TGATCCACAGACAGGGTCCTGACCCAAGCCTGGCTGGGCAGGCAGAGGTTTTTCCTGATAAGATCACTATCATTGATATTCCTGAGGACAGGGACCAGCTGAGAGCTCCCTCAGACCCTCTCTTGTTCATCACACCCTGGATGGTGTTCTCAGGACCCAGGAATCAATACTATATTTTGCAAAACTATACAAGGCAATGAAACAGTGTCTTCAGTGGAATGTTGCAATGACAGCTCACTTCTAATTTTCCAAGGCTAGAAACACAATGGGTTTAATCTGCATTCAATTACTCACCTCATTCTGTTTTGGAGTGGGTGATTGTTGTTGTTGAATGAAAAAAAATAGCAAAGAACAGTTGCAAGCACTTTTCCAGAACAAGAAAATTGCTTTGTTGTTTTGTTTCTCTTTTTTATTTTAAGTCAAAAGGGTTGAAATACACAATTTATATTCTAGTCTGCTCAAAACCCAAAACTGTCTTAAGAGTTGTGCTCAAAAATGTAATACACTGTGGTAAAAGTGTCTAAAATAATTATATTGAAGTTCTAATGAAGAGAATACACATTTTCCACAACCCTGCATTGCTCCTCACAAACTGGCCCGTGGCTGGGACCACCACAGGGTCCCAGAGACACTGTCAGAAGCGCCTCAAAGTGTTGCACCAAAGCAAGAAAGTGTATTAATTCTTCCAGAATGGTGGGCAAACAGCAGAATATAAACATTTACACAGGGCACACCTTTGCCTCTCTCCTTTGTAAGCCAGCTCCTCATTCACCACCTCAGAAGCCCTGGCAAGAGTCCAGGAGAGGAAGGCAAGTCACACTGGCAGAGGACACAGTCGCCTGTGCCAGCACAGGGTGAAGCGTGGTGGGCAGAAGGCTGTGGCCCAGCAGTCTGTGCCTTCTGGCAGCACCATTGCCAGCAGAGCCTGGTGATTCCTGCCTGGAGAAGCCAGGAAGGAGCTGCTGTAGCAGAGCTCTGAGCTGAGTCAGATGTTCTTGGTTTTCCTGGCGTCTGATGCTGAGCAGCCACAGGGGATTCAGCCACGACAGACAGAGGTTCCCTGGCCTCTCACAGAAATAAATCACTGTAATAACATGGCTGTGCTAAGCCTAAGCCAAGGAATCAAGACACAATAGAACCATCAAGAAGAAGGATGTTTCTGAAGTTTGAGAGATAAGTGCAGATTGTTGAGAGAAGTTGGAACAATTTCCTTCTACTTCAGATCAATACTGTAATTCAGCTTCTAATTCACAATCAGACTGGTTTTGTTTGACTGATTTCAACATTATCTGAAGACAAATACTCCTTTGCACAAACTAATAGCACTGGGCAGTTAACAGATTACATCTAGGCTGCTACTTCCCACCTGCAAACAGAAGGAAAGAAACCAAAGTCTGTGTGAAAATGGTAATGGCACTTTCTATTCACTTTAAGGTAATGAAGAACAGTGAGAACAGTGCCCTTGAAGCTTCTGCCGCTGTTCAGTATTCATTTCAGTGAGCTGGCTCAGTTCCTAAGCCTCTCTGCTTCTCTCGGGTGGGTAAATAAATCACATTGGATGGAGCAGAGCATGCAGCAGCGCTGAACTCTGGAAGGATTGTTCAGTGCCAGCTGGGGAATTGGCTGCTTTGCAGTAACCTCATAACAGGGAAAGCTAGTCTTCAGGGACACTGATGAATGTGGTGGAGTCATCCCAGAATATTTTTAGAGAAATGTTTCAAAATGAATAAAACTGCATAAAACCAGGCCAGTCACATTTATTTTTCCACTAAAAGTGCAGGGACATGCAGATACAGTGGTACCAATCCACAGCAGCATTTCTGCAAAGTGCTCTCAGAAATAAAACACATGCATTTGTTTTCCCCATGCCCAGTGTTGTAGCCAAATGACAGAGACACAAAGATATTCCATTAAGTTCACAAAGATGTTCCCTTTTGGCTTGCAAGCACTGTAACACCTCAAAGCTGTGCTGAAATCATGGCTTTGAGTCCTCCCCAGACCCATGCACACAGGACTGCACTTAATGCTTCTTGTGTCTCAGATGAGGGAGTTTGTACAGATCCCTGGGATACCTACCACAGCTCCAGAAGCCTTTTTAGATTTTATTATGAGCTTGTATCTTATTGCTGCTAGCTTCCACCAATAACCACTCGTCTCATGTCACAACGTGTCAGGACAGTGGTAATATGAAAGCAACACAGATCAAATTTGCTGCCACATCAAACCAACCATTTTCCAAATCAAACGTTCTGCCATTAGGAAGTGAAGCAGTAAGTGTTGTGCAGAGGAAAAACAAGTAATTGCAAAGGTAATGGCATTACCTTTGACTTAAGCCATGCCTTGGTGGGGGAGCTGCACAATGTTGGTGATTCCTCCTGAGAGCAAAGTGTAGGGCGTGAACCTGCAACTTAAGTGACAGTGAATGCACACAGTGCTGCCTCCCACGATGCACAGATGTGTGGGTTCTTTTGTTTGTGTAGAGGATTTTGGAGGGTTTTTCTAAAGAGTACAAATTGTCACGGAATAAATAGGAATGGCTGCATTTGCTCCTTGCACTGAAATACCTGACATTTGATTGTATCAAATATCTCTTCCCAGGCTGTGAGCAGGCTGAGTGAGAGGCAGCACCCATTTGGGTACAGGATGGCAGATGAGGATATGCACATTCTGAGTGGACTAACCAGCAGGGAAGTGCAATACAGAGTTTAGGGAGAATCTGAGCTTGCTTTCTGTCTCATTTATAAACTTTTTATTGATGACCATTGCCAAAATTTGGTCTGCAGAATCAGCTACAAGCCAAAGAAAAGTGTGAAAATACTGTGCAAAGAGAAGAAGGACTCTCAGGAAAAGGTGGGAATGAGAAATAAAATTAAGCTACTCCTATATAGACCTTGTGATGAGCACCAGTCAGGAGGACAGAAAAACCTCTGACATATGCCCTGGTTGAAGATTAACCCAATATTAAGTAACAGAACATTAAATAATTGAATTATGTATTAATAGTACAATATAACAATACAACTGATTTAAAAATTTGATTAAACAATGCATTAATAAATACTGCATTAAAAGTGGATATAAAAATGCTTTGCCAGGGAAATTTGACCTGCTGTCTCCTTGAGGTTGTATCTAGAGATTACTGGTGCTAAGGACAGTGCCAAGAGCCCTGTGCTGACCCTGACCATGTCTTTTCTGTGTGGAGCAATGTGTCCAGTGCAACAGTACAGCACAGCCCAAAAGGCAGAGTTTACCAGTTAAATCAGCTCTGAATCCATTCACCCAGGGTGATGACCGTCCTTGTGGACCCAAGCTAGCATTTCTGCACAGTTTGCATGGGATGGGTTAACTCACAGAGTCAAACTCCACACAGCACACTGCTGAAAGTCTCTTCATCACCCAACAACCTTACCTGGCATTCATGACAGCCTTTCAGTCTTTGTGTTTAACATGGGCTACGCAAACTACAAATAAAACACTCTTCAAAGGATCACAGAACTTCTCATGTTGGAAAAAGGCTTTAAGATCATGAAGTCTGACCATTAACCCAGCACTTCCAAGTCAAGATTCCAACTCAGATTTTCATAAAGAATAGTAAGAAAAGCTTCTTGGTTACTAAAAAGCAAAGAAAATGCTGATCCAGGGCAGCAAAACTTGAAAGGTTAGCATAATATTTTGGCAGAGCAAGGATTTAAACAGAAGATCCAAATAAAGAGCAACACTCATTACCCAACACTGTATCAGTAATCAAGGGACAAACCACCCACTAATGTCATGGCACTGGAATCAAGGCATGGCTGTGACCCACCATCTACCTTTACAAAAAGGTCGGGTTTTTTTTAATTTTCAAATAATCTATCATTGCAGCAGAAAGTAAAATGAAAGCCTTGACATGCAACAACATCCACTACATAAAATAACTCTGTTACTGCAGATGTTTTTAATAAACTTATGATGTAATCCACTTCAAAACATCTGGTTTTCTTCAGAAAGTGCCCTGTACCAAAACCTATAGCCTCTTCTGCAGATCCCTTTCACACTTCTTACCACATTCTGTGACAGGAACATGATTGGAAGCACTAAAATTACTTCAGAACAAAACTTAAAACAGACTATGGTGAAGCACTCACTATTTAAAAATAAATACATAATGTACAGCTTTAATAAATTTTTGAAAGGGATTAAAAGCAAAATTAGTATAAGAAACAAATACTAACAGGAAAGAAATAAAGAGAAGGAAATAAAACAAAAGTCCATAAACAGAATCTGAAAGGAATTTATCAATGTAAGTACAAATTCAGCAAAGCTGGGGTTGTTGGTGAAATATGCAACTTTCTGTATGTAAAATGGAAAAGGGCTAAAGTTTTGCTAACCAGTGACTGCAATAAATTGTTTGGCATTGTATGTACTCTTCTACTTGAATATTTTTATCTGCATAGAACACCTACATTGCAGTTTACTGGCTGAATAGTGACTAAAATCAGATTTAGAAAAAAGTTTAGTGACTATCAGAAATAAAGAAACTATTAAAAAAAATAAAACATCATTCATATTTTTCTTTGTCTTTAACATCCTTCTCATCTAAGCCTTTTAAGGCCATTCAACAGTCCTTTTAATACAGAAGGAAATAATCCTGGATATACTGCACATCTGACCTGGATTTTACTTCAGCTTTATCCTGTTTTCTTATTTCCAGTAATACATAACCTTTGCATTAAAGCCTCTCTGGAGCCCAGGAAATTCACAACTAATCAGTAAAGTAAGCAAGCTATTGTAAAAGGCTTAACAAGCTCTAACCCTCAGTCTTGCATTGTGATTACCTCAGAATAATTACTTCTGGAGATAACTGATGAAGATCATATTAGTCTGAGGCAAAACAGAGATCCTGCTAAGTGTAAATCAATTACAGCCGAGCAGAGAGGCGAGGGGACAAAGATATCACAGGACTATTGTTATTATTTATGAAGCGGTCATGGGGATTTCAGATAATTCCTCATACTCACAATCGCTGTTGGAGTTGAAGCCAGCACACAGTACAACACAAGTGGTGAAATGAAGCTCTCATCCTCTGTCCCAGGGTATGGTTTCATCAAATTGCCATCCTGACAGAAGAAACCTTGGATATGCACCTGAAAAGTGTCAGTGTATTCGAAGTAGTAGGCGAGCAGAACAGTCCCAGCCATGATGACGAGCTGAAAATAAAGCATAGTCACAGAGAGGCGTTAGTTGCTTTTTGAACAGATGCAGCTGTGCCTGCGAGCTACTCCAGTCCTGTGGACCATCCTCCCTTCACCGTCACTCTGACAACCCCTGCCATAACGGTGTGTGAGCGTGTGCGTGTGTGTGTTTCCGTGCCTCTGCTTTGCAACATCTGTTACATAAACCTTTTGGCGAACGACGCCAATGGACGTCTCGGATAGGAGCGGGTCGCGGCGCGGCGCGCAGGGGGCCGGGAGCCGGGCTGGCAGAGGGCCTGTGAGCGTCAGCGCAGCGGGATCGATGGCAGCGGGGCCGGAGACGGCAGCAGCCGCAGCTCAAACCTGTGCTCACTGGCAGCGAGCGGGAAAGCATTGTTACAAAGCCCAGAGGAAGCTAAAGCCGAAACAGTTCCCCGCTGCAGCTGCAAGCTCGTGCTGGAGAACGTGCACGCTGTGCTAATTGAGACGAGCCCTCTGCCTGTCCCAGATGAACACGCAGCCAGAGGAAGACTTCTTTCCTGCCACTCACCTTTCCCTGGAGCTGCTTCTTTATGAGTAAAGCTTTAGAAGTCTACTCGGAAATCTCCAAGCAACCTGTGGGGACTTCAGTGCACTGCCTGACTTACCCACTCCACCACAGCCAATTTGAAAAAACTGGCTTGAGTCTGAAGCTGCATTTGTATCACAGATATGAACTGGAAGGAGCCTTTCTGGTCTCTCTTTTCATACTTCATGGCTCCTAAATGGGTTGGTTGGAAGCTCAGCAGTTCACTTTTTTGTTTATATCCACAGTACCAGCTTCCCATGCTGTTTCAGCAACCCGTCACCACAACCTCACCAAAGGTGTCCTGAACCGAACCTCATGAAAATAAGCAGATTTACTAATTCTTGTTCTCCCTCTGCCACACTGCAAAGAAAATCTCACATCACAGTCCCCACCCAAGACAAAAATAGTAATATTGATTTATAACTCACTCACTCATGTTGGGTTTTTTGGGGTTTTTTTGGGTTTTTTTGTTTGTTTGTTTGTTTGGTTGGTTGGTTGGTTTTTTTTACAGGTAATGGTTTTAAAACTAAAAGAGGGTCGATTCGTAGTAGGCATAAGGATGATGTATTTTACAATAAAGGTAGTAAAAAAGGACACAGATTGCCCAGAGAGTTGATGAATACCCCATCTCTGGAAGTATTCAAGGTCAGGTTGGACTGCACTTTGAGCAACCTGGTCTAGTGGAAGGTGTTCCTGCTCATTGCACAGTGGGTGGACTAGTGGACTAGCTGGCCTCTGAAAGTTCTTTCCAACTCAAATCCTATGATTTAAAATTATGATTACAGGATCTGATTAAAAATCCTCTTTATGGAGACTAGTGCCGCTACTACAGAAGATGTCACTATGCAACTATTTTTGTCATTATAACTATACAAGTTATCTAGCCACATCATAGAAAAAAGTGGAATAACCAGGTCCTGGTTTTAGTATTTTGCCTTCAGGAACTCTGCATGAAAACTGTATTGCTGCAAGATTATTGTAAGACCTCTGAAAATTAATTTTGGCAATTCCATCTCAAAGATACTCTTGAAGCTATTAATGCACTCCTCTGGCACATCTCTGCACACACCAGCCATTAAAGCTATTGTATATTTGAATAAGAGCTGGACTAAAATTAGAAAAAATAATGAAATCAGATTAGTAATTGATGAAAGTGGAAGACCAAAGAACCCCTAAGTGGTTGAGGTGGGGAGGGACCTCTGGGGATTAGTTAGTCCACCCTCCTCTGCTCAAGCAGGGACACCTTAGTTGGTTGCCCAGGACCATGTCCAGATGGATTTCTGAACATCTCCAAGGATAGAGTCTTCACAAGCCCCCTGTGTAAGACAGACTTGTAAGACAGACTTACAAGAACGTCACAGTGAAGCCATAGTTGTGACATTCCACTCCCGATTTTTTACCTTTAAAATTAACCATCTCATTTTGTATATGTATTATTTTCAAGACCACATACCAGCCCAGAATAATTTTTTTTAACAAACATAAAAGCAAGATGCTGCTATCTGTGTATTCCCCAGAGATCTTCACAGCAACCTTGATGAATACAAACACAGTCCCACAGCTAAGAACACAGGAGTTAATTTACATCTGAATTTAACTCCTTGAGCAGCCACAGATTTTCTGATCAACCTGGGCAACTCAGCTTTGTTAATTAACATAGAGAAAGGCAATGACACTATCACCATCTACCTGACATGCCCAGATAAACACAATAGAGATTACAGGATGTTTGTATAGAGAGGTCTTTAAACTCAGTTCCAGTTCATATGGGCAGTCAAAAGCAATCTGACCCACCCCTCCTATCCCAAACATACTCCCAGAAATAGTTCAGGTTGCCAGCCCCAGCTGGCAAACACAAGTAAATGATAAATAAAAAATTATACAACAGACAACTGGTTTTTCTCCTCTTACTGGGAATCAGACAAAGCAGGTTACTTAACTTTTAACCTTCTCTGGGTGTCATATGGAAAAGAGAATTTTCAAAAAATAAGGTGCTTTGATATGGGGAGGAAAATGTCACTTATCCCAAATGCAGTCTCTAGACAGCAGTTCCACAACTAACCTTGATCATTCCCTTGTCGAATGCTGACTCAGTGCTGCACAAAACTCCCCACTGCATGTAAAACTACAGCTCTTGACTGACTGACTCAAGATTGATATTGACCTAGAACATCACAAATCACAGGATCACAGAATGATTTGGGTGGGAATGGACCTTAAAGCTCAATTTATTCCAATCTGCCTGCCATGGGCAGGGGCACTTTCTAGCCTGGTCTCAAGACACCTCAATAATGAATCCAAATCTGTTCACAGAATTGTGCTTCTATGTTTTGTTCTTCTGAGAAAGAAAAAAAAAAACCAAACAAACAAAAAAAAAAAAACCCAAAAAACATATAATCTGTAAAAAAATATTTGAATTGTGGACACTTCATATCCTGTAGGTGACATCCACCATCTCACTGAAACAGCAACAGGAGGCAGCAGAAATTTGACCTCCAGCTAAACAGACCTTACCATACCCCAAGGGATGATGTCAGATACAGAAAGCACAGTCAGCCACTACCACAAAGAGGAGTAAAATTTTTGCTGCTGGTACAGTCAGTGAAGACCTAACCACTTCTGTGTGGCAACTTCCTGTGCCTCATCTTGAGTATTCACATCTTCAAGCAGCTTCTCAGCAAAACGCAAACAGAAACTTCTTTTTGTTCCGTCTTCCCTTTTTCCTTTCCAGATGGTAACTATTTAACGTGTGTTTAACATGAGTGAGATGACAAGTGCAAGGAGGGGTCAGACTGGCCAGAACCAGGGATGTCAGAGACAGGAGGGTTTCCTGCAAGGCAATAAACTTTCCCTGGATGCTGGGATAAAGAACAGATGCAGTGCTGCCCTGTAGACATCCTGGATTATGAGCACTTTGGGGTCCAAATCAGTGGGCCTGGATTCTGTAGAATTTTCACCCTGTTTTCAGATTTACAAACATTGAAGGAAGCAGAGAAGAACAGGTAGGCTGATTTAAACTAAAGATACAAAACATCCCATTATGTAATTTAGAAAACACAATGCAGTTTAACACCAACGTTTTGGAGGGTTTATTTATTAATCCTTATTAACTCGTTTCCTTGAGTTTACTTGGGGAAGAATTAGAAATGCTCAATAACTTCAGAAAGGCAACCAGTGAATAGAAGGCTGCTAATAAGTCTAAGGTGCTTAATGGCCTCCATTAGCACAGTGTTTAACCATGTCATAATCCTTAATATTTATCATCACTGCTCCATTGTAAGTTAAGAAAATGCTCTTATCATCATTTTACAGAGAGGGGACAAAAGCTGAGGAGATAAAATGACTGCCCTCAGGTCACAGCAGAGTCTGTGGCAGAGCCAAGATTTATCTTTCTTCTGGACCAAATTTCTTTGGATTAGTCAATAATCTGCACATGAAAAGGCTCAATTATACATATGCTGAGGTCCCGATTCTGTAGAAGCTCATTCATAGTGTTAACAAAAATTGTGTGTCTGACTCAGTCCCATTTAAAAAACCCTGCTGAATTTAAATTAATCTTGACAAGCTGGACTTAAGCAACTGGGATGTGTTTTTCCCTCAGTCATTTAAATGGATTAATTACATAGTGTATAACACCCATCCCTTGACACACGATTAAATTCTGCCCTGCTCTAAGAGTCCACGCTGGTTCTGCCCCTACAGACCTCCATCACTGCACACCCTTGCTCTCCACTTTAACCTGTGAGCATTCTCTGCATTCAAAAAATCACCTTCTCCGATGTTAAAGAAATATGAAGCAAGTCTTGCAATCCTCTTTGAGTAACAGGTGATTGTTTGGTGTAGAGTTAATCGGGTATTAATGAAAGAATGTGTCCTGAGTATAAAGAAAGGGAATCTCTGGAGTAAGCAGTACAGTTAGTTACACTGACTCTAGGGTACTCATGTACATCCAGAAATTCTCCTCTTCACTATAATAGAGTCTCTGACAGCAAAACTCAGAGAACACTAACATCAAAATAAAATTATTGCACTTTCAGGTAGTGGGAGTGAAGTCCCACACTGTATGCACTCTCATAATTCATTGTAAAGCACTTCCCCATATCCTCCACAAATGGGAGATTTTTTTTTTTTTTTACTCACAGAAAAGAGACCCCTGCTCTGCAAGTAAGCAACCAAGAGGGCAACTCCACTTGGGAAAGTGGCATAAAGCTGTAAAAGACAGAGATCAATATTGGAAGAGGGAAGACACTGTGGGAGACAGATTTTTGATCAGCCTAGACTGGAAACTCCCCAGAATTCTTAACAGAGGAGCAAGAAACTTATGGAGAAAAGGAAGATGCTAGAAAAATGTCTGGTGCTCCCTTTAGCCATCCAACCTGTCTGCCCTGTAAGACAGGCACACAACCACAGCAAAAATCTCCTTTTGCTGTGTGTTTTGCCACTATAT